GGAGGCTGCGGCAGGAGAATCAGTATGAGTTCAAAACCAGCCTGGGCTACAAAGTGAGCTCAAAGCCAGCATGAATTGCATAGCAAGACCCTGTCTCAAAAAAGAAAAAAAAAAAGTTTTGTTTTCTTGCAGGATGGGGATGTTGAGACCATATTTTAGTTAACTTCTCATTACTGGGACACAGTGGCTGACACCCACAATATCATTAGGGAACAAATATTTATTTGGCTCACGGTTGGCTGGCTCCCAGATAGGGCGGCCAGGCAGAGGGGCAGGGCAGGCAGGAAGCAGCCAGGGAACAGGGACGAGGGAACACTAATGATCAGTGTGGTGGGAATGATCAGTATGGAACAGCTCTATTTGCTGCTGTGAGTTCCTGAGGCCAGACCTCCTTGATCAGACAAGTCAGGGCCTTTCTCCTCAGTTACCGCAGATTCGTGAGCTCTTAGCTGGAAACCAGGTAAAATAATCAAGGAGGAAACCATGAAACAACTCTTTCTTTCTGATCCTTTTTTACATCCTTTTTTACATCTGTCCACACATTCATCTCAAGCCTGAATTTACAATTAGAAACTCAAATTGCTATTTGTGAGCCTGTCTAGCACTCAGGTCCACAGAAAGCACTTCTACTTTCAGGTCGATGTTTCTCCAAGGTAGCTGCTGGCTGCTGTCTGACCTGTCCCCTCTCACTCAGACTGAAATAAATATTCTGTGTTCCTGGTGCCCGGAGGAAGCATAGGATATAAGCACCCAGCTAGACAGGTATACAACAATAGCATGGAGCAGAGTGCAGGGAAGAGACGCCCCAGCTGGAACAGAGACCACCAGAGACCACAGGAGCAATACAAAACCAGACTATCCTGGGGTGGTTTAATGGCCTCATGATCCTCCTCAGCTCATCCCGATGCTGATCCAGTGTCAGCTGGTGGACAGCATTCCTGGGGACATAAGCTTCTTGAGGAGCAGAGTACATCTCCATTCTTAAGTTGCTCAGCCAGGCCATGTGGCACAGCAGGCTCTCCAGGGTGTCTACAGATATGGGGTTCCTCATGCAGCTGAAGGTAGTGAGCTGGGAGCAGTGGCTCAAGGCAGGCAGAAAGGCCAAGAGCTGGGCATCTGTGATTCCACAGGCCTGCAAGTGTAGGGTGGTCAGAGTGGCTGCAGTGTTATCCAGGAGAAAGCAGAGGGGATGGAAGTTAAACGAAGTCAGGCTGATACCGTACATTTCCAAGTGTTTCAGGTGTCTGATGCTCGGAGAGTGTGGCAGCTGGTCCCAGTCAGAGTGTGAGAATGGGCTGTGAATTAGTGAGAGTTTCTCCAAGGGGCACTTGAGGCATCTACAGAGAGACCAAGCAGTTAGATCTGGCAATTGGAGGTGGAAAGTATTGGATGGTGGGAAGCAACTCCAAGGTAGAACAGATGTCATTTTGAGTCACCCCAACAGAGGCTGAGGTCATTTACCATCACTTGCCTGACTGGCTGAGTCCCCAGGCTCGACAGTCCCCTTTGCTTTCTCCTAAGCAGAAAACCACAGCTCTTTCCTGAAGAGGCCAGCAGGAGACAGGCAGGAAGGGCAAATCAGAAAAGATCTGGCCTCAAACCCTGGGGCTGCTAAAAAGGCTGTGCACAGAGGCTGGTACCTCGTTGCCACTCTGCATTCCTGCTCTTTGCCATCAGCTTCACACTCCTGCATTTCCCCCCTGGTGGTCACCCCATGCAGGAGAGGATTCCTATTCTGACTTCCGGGCAGATCAGAGAGACCTAGGGCATTGCTCAGCCTCAGGATGTTAACTGTGGATGGAGAGGACAGCTAATGGGGGAGGCAGCAGTGTACGGAGCGGTCAGTATCTGTGTCCTCCACAGGCACTAAGAGTAGGGACTGGGCCGGATCCAAGGAAGGAATGGGAAAGGGGAAGGAGAATAGTATGGCATAGGAAGAGGGAGGACATAGCAACTGATGTCTGGGATGAGGAAGGCATGGGGGAAAGCAGTGACATCCAGCTGAGGTTCTGCAGTCTCTGCTGGACTCAAGGGTGGCCTCTCTCGGTGGGGGATGGAATGACAGGCTCGCAGTCTCTCACATCTCTTAAGCAAGTGGCTCACACATTGAAGATGTGGTTTGAATTCTTGTCTTCCCTCAGTGCCATGTGTCTTGTCTGTTTCTTACACCTTACTCTTAATGTACTTTCTAAGGGGAAATCACACATCTGCCCTCACTGTGTCTGACCCCTGGCTCCTGGTATCCTGGCACAGTCGCCCTTTCCAGTCTAGCTACTGCAGGGTAGTGCCCATGTGACACCTTGCTGTAGGACTAAGGAGTGAAAAGTGCAGTGATTCTGTAGCCTTTGATATCCCTGAAATCACCTGTGTGGGCACACTGTCCATGTTTACTGTCTTTCTAGAACAGAGGAAGGCTCTTGTGACTCTACAGAGAGCTCCACATCTTACCTGAGCACCTGGTCCATGTGGCCATCGAGGAAGAAGACAGATTCCATATAAAACTCCCGCAGACAGTGAAGCTTAAGGAATTGAGAGGTGATTTGGGTGACCAACTGGTCTCTCTTCTCTGCGGAAAGGCTGGCAGGCACAGGGATGTTAGAGAGAGTTAATCTGTGGAGATTTTGCATCTGGCCCAGGTAAGGGGCAAAATGAGCCAGGGTGGAGAGTGTCCAGTAGTGACCCACATCCACCTGCTGCACAGAATCAAGGTTCAGCATTTCCAGGACGCTCATGATCTTTGGAAAGCACGTGGATGTAATCCACAGCTTTGTACAATCCAGCTGCACTGAACCTTTCCTCTCCTGGACCCACTTGAGGAGGAATGGTTGATGAGGAGGAGGACCCAGAGGATCCTCACTGATCCACAGATCTAGAATCACCCTGAGGGGTTGCCTTGTTGCTATCCTTGGCCCAGTCTTCTCTGTGTGTCTTCTCTTCATGGCTTCTGAGGAGCAGGCTTCCGACTTGTTTTCAGCCCAGACCCTCCAGAAGTGCTGGTGCACATCCCGCATATCGAGCACTTGCAGTTTCAACCTCCTGTGGGTGAAGCAGTAATGAGTCTGAGAATTCAGGCCGGGACCCAGTTTCCTCCTGCACCTTCCTCACCTCTGAGGCCCACTGCTATCTTCTGTACACTTCCTACGCTGTAGATTTCTGCTTCTGCTTTCTCCCTTAGCTCCAGCCCTGTCCCGACTCCCCATGCCTGTGGGAGGAGTCAGGAACTTGTTGCTTCTTGCACTGCAGCCTCTACCATCAGCTTACGTCCCCAACAAGCGGTGCACACCCAGGTGGCCCGCAATGCCCAAGGTTTCTCTGATCCTCTGTCAGTCCCCATCAGAAGCCTCTGCTTCATATTTAGTCCCCACTCTCCCTGACACCTTCCGTCCCTTCCTGGAATCCCAGGGCCTCCCTCCAGGATACCTGGCTCACACTCACCTGGAGCAAACCTTCTGGCTCAATAGCTGATGGAGCCCATCCAACAGTGCTGGAAACATCCTTTTTAGCATGAGGGCTACATCCAGATGAGTGTCCAAAGTCTCTAGGCTCATCGTGCGAATCAGGGATCCCAGGGGTAGGCAGGGAAAGGGCCAGGCCAGCACCATGGCCTTCAGGACCTCAGTGTATCCTCTGGTGAAGGCCTCTATGAACACTGGTGGGAAGAGTTCCCCGGGCAAGTGTTCAACGGCCTCCATGGCCAAAGCCTCGTCCCTCAGCAAGCTCTGAATTGCCAGTTTCTGTAGTGTGTGTGGGGCCTGGGTACTCATCCTGGTGATTCTGGAGGTCAGGATTGCTCGGGAAACACTGAGAAAAGAGACATCCTTTCAGACAAGGCTGAGGCACCCCTTCTCACCCATCAGGAAACGAACTTGCAGCAAAACGTGCTTGTAGTGACATGAGGAAGAATGTCAGGTAGCACTCAGATGAAACAAGGAGATGAACAAAACATCCATTTCCTACTGGAGCACCCTGAACTCTGGACGCGCTGGGAATTGAGAACCAAGGATTCTGAAACTGACTCCCTTCAGTTTTGGGAAAATATTCTGATCCTCATTCCAAGGAGATGTAACCAAGGAAATGGAAATATAATATGGTCCAGTCTCTAACTTATCAAACAGTTCCCACAGTGCACCTGGCTAAGGAAAATTAAGCACAGTATAAAATGAACACCATAATTTTCATTTCAAATAATTACACAGGTCCGGCACGGTGGTGCATGCCTGTAATCCCAGCACTTGGGGGGCAGGAGGATCATTGTGAGTTTGAGACCAACCTGGGCTATAAAGTGAGCTCAAGTTCAGCCTCAACTGTATATTGAGACCCTGTCTCACAAAAAAAGTAAAAATAAAAAGTCCAGAACAAAATCAAATAATGATACAATACTGGATTGTAGTCCTACCCCAGAGTTAGCACAAGCAGGGACAGCTCTGATGCATCTGTTTCTCCTTTTCATTCCCCGCATCATCCATCACCTGGGTGTGGGGAAGTGTGAGCAGTTGCCTTTGAAATTTTTTAGGCTGAGAAACCTTTTGCTGGATGAAAATACAGTATACCAGCATGAAGTTGTGTTTCAGCATTCACAGCCTCAGTCATTGGAGAACTTAACGAATAATTGTTCACAGAACCCCCCTCAATTTTGAGGCAACCAAAAATGTCCTCTGCAATTGATTTTTTGATGAGACATGTTCAAGTTGTCAGTCTGAGGAAGTTGTTCAGTTCTCCTTGCTTCTTCTGAATGTCTGCCTCTGCACTGTAACCCATCTCTGGCAGATGCACCAGCATTCCTGCATCGTAACAGGTTGCTATAAAGCATGTAGATATCTCATTTTCTTGGTTTTGTTCTTCTTAAAGTTTCAAGATCCCAAAGATGCTGTCCAAACACTTTTCACCTTTTAATGATTTATAACACTATTTATTAAATTAAATTACATAACTGTGAAAGAAATAACATATTTAGGGTTTAAGCTAATAGGCATTTGCAGGCATTTGTCTGACCATATATGTAATTCACAGTTTCTCACAATTCCTGGGAATTGTAGGGATAAAACCTGTGCAAATTTTGGGGTTCCACTGGATATGAATCAGAAGCTGGTGAAGATGGGGTGTGAAAGATAGGGCATGTAAGATTTTGCTTTTGGCACAAACGAGAGACAGAAGAGAGATAAAAAGAGCCCTTCTCATTGGTGTGGCAGGGTTGCAGGAGAATGCAAGAACAAGAGGAGGAGGCAAGGGAGAAGTATATTAAATGGGCTGGGGTGTGGGTAGAGTTTACATGGGCAGTGAAGGTGTTCTATTAAGAGCTAATTGGGGAATTGTTCGTGCGTGCATGGAAAGCATACAGGGAGTTGAGTTTAGACTGGGAAAAGAAGCAGACGGAAGTTAGTCTTGGAGTGATACCTTGTTGTTTTGGACGCTATGCTATGTTGGATCACCGCCATGATAATGTGGCAGATTTTATATATGGGTACAAACGTCAGTGTGCAAGAGGCATATCAAAAAAGAGGAGAGCAACTGGGCATGGTGATGCATGGCTGTAATCCCAGCACTTGGGAGGCTGAGGTAGGAGAATCATTGCAAGTTTGAGACCATCCTGTACTACAAAGTGAGCTCAAACCCAGCTTGACCTGCATAGTAAGACCCTGTCTCAAAAAGACAAAAAGGAATGGGAGAGCAAATAAATGAGTTTAACACACCATGAAATTTGTGGAGGGCACAACCAAGGAAAGGGTATTATATTGCAGATTGGAAATTGGGGAACAGGTGTTACCTAATTTCAGTTCTCCACAACTGTCTTTTGCATGGGTGGCTTTGTCCAAATTGCTCAAACTCAGATTTCCTCATGTGTGATGGGGCTCACAACTGTATCTATTCCTCCTTTGTTCTTTGAGGGAAATTCCACTGTGATTTCCCACTTGGAGTGAGGATTTGGGGTGAAGGATCGCAGGGAGTCTGCCCAGACTCCTTAGCATCTATGCTTGTTCAGTGTTCCTCACGCTGCCCTCTTCCCTGTCTCTCCTGTGAATCTGGGGAGGATCTGTCTCCCCTGTTACTGCCCTCCCCATTCCCCGCCTCCCAGAATCACTTTGTCCTGCTGGTCCGTGCTGCAGAGATGAGCGGCCAGTGCTGTGACACCCAGCTTTCTACATCTACCACCCTGCTCTACCCCAGGCCTGACTCACCCTTTCCCAGTGGATCCTCCCTCACCTATACTTGCTGCCCAGCAAGGGCCCTGAGGCTCCGAGGCTTTTCTCTTCAGAGAGGCAGGGGAAGCTGAAGGGTGGAGGAGCCAGGGCTGAAGGTGGAACCCATACGGGAGGGGTGCTGTTGGACCAGACTGGGACTGAGCCTCCCAGGGAGGTGGAGCCTGGGGAGAACAGAGAGGGAGGGACCAGAATGACTTCCTGTCTTCCCCACCTTCTGTCTTGCTCCCTGTCCTCAGGGAGCTGTATAACCTTGGGCATATGACTGAACGTCCCTCAGTCCCACCACAGAAAGTCCAGTGGGTGCATTAGCACCTCCCTCAGTATCTCATGGCCATGTGATCTCAGTACCAGAATTGACTTAGGGAAACCCCTGAGAATTTACTGATGTCAGCCAGGTATGGCAGCCACACCTCTAATCTCAGCACTGTGAAGGGGGTTGGGAATAGAGGATCACTTGGAACTCAAGGCCAGCCTGGGGTACATGGTGAGTTCAAGGCTAACCCAGACTGAAGCAGAAATAAAAAGCAAACCAAAGCATAAAAACATTGTTTCCTGATACCTCGATTGCATATGTGTCTGACCCTGAAACCTCACTACAGCCCCCTAGTCTGTACTGCTGTTATCAACTCCCCTTCATTATAAACTCTCACAGAGCTGGGAGTGGTGGCCCCCTCCTGTAATCCCAGTACTGGGGAGGTTGAGACAGGAGGATCACTACATTCCAGGCCAGCTTGGGCTGCATAGTGAGTTCCAGGCCAGTCTGAACTGCATAGTGAGACCCTGTCTCAAAAGAATAAAAACACCACAGAAATCTCTCACTGATAAAGCAGGTTATCAGTTTGTTATAAACTTCCAAGTCTATACAACTGTAATCCCCTTTCTCCCTTTCTTCCAGGTCACAGCCATTTCATGCACTACTGAAAGATGTCTAGTGGGCAGTGGTGAAACCCATGTAACTATGATAGAGCACTTTAAAGTTAGGATGGAAAATACTGAGATACAGATTCCCACACATTCTTCTCACATATGTGAAACTTAACAGTTAGGGATGGTGATGGGAATGAAACAGATCTACTTTTTCACTTTACATTTTTTTTTTAAGACAGGGTCTCATGATATAGTTCAGATTGGCCTAGAACTCAATATGTAGCCTTGGCTAGCCTTAAACTCACTGGGATCCTCCTACCTCAGCCTTCCAAGTGCTGGGATTACTGGGGTGCTCCACCATGCCTGGCTTATCCACTTTTCACATTATAGCACAGAAGGTTTCAGGGGTTTTTGTTTATTTTTTTTGAGACAGGGACTTGCTGTAAAGTTCAGGCTGCCCCTGAACTAATGATGTAGCTCAGGCTGGCCTCGAACGCATGTAAGTGCTTCCTCAGCCTCTCAGTGCTGTATTACAGGCGCACCCCTCTTCCCCTGGCTGTTTTTTTCTGTGTGAAAAGGAGCCTGTAACTTATGTATTCATACAACCACAAAGTTCATAATAATTTTAGTGAACAGAAGTATTTAAAAGTCTAGAAGTCAGGAGTAGTGGTGTATGGACTTGATTCTAGCATCTCCAAGGCTGAGGCTGGATGGTCTCAAGTTCCAGTCTGGCACAAGAAACTTGGTGACTTTGTGAGACTGAAAAAAAAATGCTTGGAATATAATGAGATTTGTATTCAGCTAACGCAATGTGGTGATTCAGTGAGAATCTTCTCATGA